GGAGAGAAGCATCTGAAGACTGAAACTACCCAGAGGGGTTGGAAAGTCTTCCAGGGGCTATGCAACGGAATTCCTTGCTTATAAATACCCTCCCTAAACCTTAGTAAAGTTACTACGTTCAGAACATGGTTAGTTTGAGTAAAATGTGTGTGTGTCTGTGTGTGTGTGTGTGTGTGTGTGTGTGTGTGTGTGTGTGTGTGAACTTCTGCATAGTGTCAAACCAACAAGAAAAAAACAAGAAGAGGTAGTAGAAACATGGGGTAGCAATGTCAGGAATTCACTGAGCAGGGGAAAGAGTTTCAACTGTATAAAGTAGGATACAGGAGAAATTTACTAAAATCTCTAAGGGCAGGGAGATTCCAAGAGAATGTTCCAATCTCCTGATAGTTTATCTTAATTTGCATATACCTTTTCTGAGCATTCTGAATCCCAAACATATTTATCCTTAACATTCATTCTTAATTTTTTCTTTTTTTTTTTTTTTTGAGACGGAGTTTCACTCTTGTTACCCAGGCTGGAGTGCAATGGCGCGATCTCGGCTCACCGCAACCTCCGCCTCCTGGGTTCAGGCAATTCTCCTGCCTCAGCCTCCTGAGTAGCTGGGATTACAGGCACGCGCCACCATGCCCAGCTAATTTTTTTTGGGGTTTCACCATGTTGACCAGGATGATCTCGATCTCCTGACCTCGTGATCCACCCGCCTCGGCCTCCCAAAGTGCTGGGATTACAGGCTTGAGCCACCGCGACCAGCCGATTTTTCTGAGACGGACTTTCGCTCTTATTGCCCAGGCTGGAATGCAATGGCATGGCGCGATCTCGGCTCACTGCAACCTCCGCCTCCTGGGTTCAGGCAATTCTCCTGCCTCAGCCTCCTGAGTAGCTGGGATTACAGGCACGCGCCACCATGCCCAGCTAATTTTTGTATTTTTAGTAGAGACGGGGTTTCACCATGTTGACCAGGATGATCTCGATCTCCTGACCTCGTGATCCACCCGCCTCGGCCTCCCAAAGTGCTGGGATTACAGGCTTGAGCCACCGCGACCAGCCGAATTTTTTCTAATTCTAAACACTATACCTGGCTGGGCATGGTGGCTCACCCCTGTAACCCCAACACTTTGGGAGGATGAGGCAGGTGGATCACCTGAGGTCAGGAGTTCAAGACCATCCTGGCCAACATGGTGAAACCCTGTCTCTACTAAAAATACAAAATAAAATTAGCCAGGTGTGCTGGTGCATGCATGCAAATCCCAGCGACTTGGGAGGCTGAAGCAGGAGAATCACTTAAACCAAGGAGGTGGAGGTTGCAATGAGCCAAGATCACGCCATTACACTCCAGTCTGGGTGACAAGAGCAAAAACCTCTGTCGCAAAAATTAAATAAATAAACACTATACCTAAAAATTCATAATCTGTAAAGAAATGTAAGTGTAGAAGACTGGTCTCAAACTTAAAAGAATTAAAACTCTCCTACATTTAAAATGCCATTCTTAGTTTATCTGTTTCATACATTTGTTTGTTTTTTGTTTTTTGAGACAGAGTTTCACGCTTGTTGCCCAGGCTGGAGTGCAATGGCACAATCTCTGCTTACTGCAACCTCCGCCTCCTGGGTTCAAGTAATTCTTCTGCCTCAGCCTCCTGAGTAGCTGGGATTACAGGCATGCACAACCGCACCCAGCTAATTTTTTGTATTTAGTAGAAACGGAGTCTCGCCATGTTGGTCAACCCGGTCTCAAACTCCTGACCTCAAGTGGTCCGCCTGCCTCAGCTTCCCAAACCACTTGGGATTACAGGCATGAGTGACTGTGCCCTGCCTGTTTCATACATTCGATATTCTATAGAGATTTCACAACGTAGCATATGTCTCTAAAACCCCTTCAAGATGATTATAAACTGTGCCCTCTTTAAAGACAGGGCCAACAGATCTACTGCTTGATCCCCTGTGTATTAGACTAAAGTAAAATCCTATCAAGAGCTATTTCTGCACCAGGGAACTGAAGGATAACTTTATTAAATTTCAACCCATTTTAAAAAACAAAACAGGTCCAGGCACAGTGGTTCACGCCTGTAATCCCAACACTTTGGGAGGCTGGGGCAGGTGGATCACAAGGTCAGGAGTTCAAGACTAGCCTGGCCAGCATGGTGAAACCCTGTCTCTACTAAAAATACAAAAATTAGCTGGGTGTGGTGGCACACACCTGTAATCCCAGCTACTTGGGAGGCTGAGGATCACTTGAACCTGGGAGGCAGGAGGTTGCAGTGAGCCAAGATCCTGCCATTGCACTCCACCCTGGGCAACAAGAGTGAAACTCCACCTCAAAAAATAAAAATTAAAAATTCATGAAATATGGTGGGGCGAGATGGCTCATGCCTGTAATCTCAACTACTCAGGAGGCTGAGGCAGGAGAACTGCTTAACCCAGAACAGGAGGCGCAGGTTGCAGTGAGCTGAGCTCATACCACTGCAGTCCAGCCTGCGCTACAGAGCAAGATTCTGTCTTTAAAAAAAAAAAAAAAAAATTTTTTTTTCAACCAATTTTTAAATGGTGTTTCTAATTACATGAGTTTCGGATGAACTTTAAACATAGGACAAATGGAAGACACCTCATACATTGAATAAACATCAGCATATCACATTCCCAATGTAAGGGATCAGTTACCCTTTCAGATAAGGTTTACAAGAGTCATTACAACTTTCCATTCAGATAAGCTGGAAGGTTATTGTAGTAGCTAGTCACCAAATGGCGCCAGTGATCCTTGCTTCCTGGAATTCACTTACGAATTTACACACCTTCCCACTTGGAACCATGTTTGTACTCTACGTCCGACAGAATGAGGCAGAAGTAACAGTGTGTAGCTTCCAAGGCTAGATCATAGAAGATATTGCAGTTTGTACCTTCATCTTGGTCTTAGGTCACTTACTCCAGGGGAAGGCAGCAGTGAGGACGCTCAACAGTCCTATAGGTGGGGAATCAATGAGAGTCCTGAAAGGCACAATCCAAAATGCCATCATTCTGAAAGTTGAAATTCTGAAACAACAAAATCCTAAAAATATAATTCTGAAAAAAATTATTTAAAAGTCTTGGCCAGGTGCAGTGGCTCATGCCTGTAATCCCAGCACTTTGGGAGGCTGAGGCAGGCAGATCATGAGGTCAAGAGATCGAGACCATCCTGGCCAACATGGTGGAACTCGTCTCTACTAAAAAAATACAAAAATTAGCTGGGCATGGTGGCGTGCGCCTGTAGTCCCAGCTACTCGGGAGGCTGAGGCAGGAGAATTGCTTGAACCCGGGAGGCAGAGGTTGCAGTGAGCCGAGATTGCACCACTGCACTCCAGCCTGGCGACAGAGCAAGGCTCTGTCTCAAAAAAATAAAAATAAAAAGCCTTTAAGGAGGATTTATTTGAGAAATACATAAAAACAAAACAGAAGGCTTCATAAACCATTTTACACAATAAAATAGGCAATAATAACATTCACTTTTTTGCAACTATAAACACTCAGATATACTAAAGTTGTGTGGCATACTAGTTGTGAGCAGACAAGCCGTATTCATAAAGAAACAGGTCGAAAAGGGAAACATATAAACACACATCACTATAGTTGGTAACTGTGCCCCCAGCTTTATAACTGCAGTCATCTGAAATAATATGATGAACAAGTCTTTGATGAGATCAATCAAAAACCTTGATGGGTACCACCACATATGCAGTCAGCCAAAGAACTGAGATCTGGATAACTTTTTTTTTCTTTTGGAACGAAGTCTTGCTCTGTCACCTGGCTATTTTTTTTTTTTTTTTTTTTTTTTTTTTTTTTTTTTTT